CCCAGCCTGCTTCTCAGAGAAGGAGGGTTCCGGTTTCCCCTACTTCTGCCGGAAGACCTCCGGCTCCTGACAGGCCTACTTCAGTAGGAAAGAGTCTGCAAGACCTAGGTTTGAGCTCAGGGTCGGCTGATGCCAGAACTAGGGAGCCTGATGTTCCCTCTAGCCGGGTGCTTGCTGTTGCATCCGGCTCCAATGCGGCTGGGGGTGGTGTCACCCCTCAGCCTGAAAACCAAGGTATTGCTCTCACCCTTGACCCCCCGGCCGCTTGGGCCTGTTCGAGTCAAGTCCCAAGCTACACAGTTAGGGGATTCTTCAGGCAGCCGGCAGAATATAGGCGCTGCATATGCTCAATACTTAACGAATAAATCTCATGATGAACATGCCTCTTCTCGTTGGCCGGATCTGCAAAACTATGCCAAGAGAATGCTGAGGACTCTCACCCGGTCCGAAAAGGAGGCGATACCGGGTATCAACCAGGTCAACATTGACTGCATCAAGTTACTGCTGGCTGAGGTAATTTACCGGTTAGGGTACTTTTGTGCAATTTTGTTCATTGCTGGTTGTAGCATAACTGAGAAGCTAACTTCTTTCTGGCTGATTTTGCAGGTGATGTTGAGGGTTGATGGGATGAAGGTCCCCTTGCGGAAGAAGCAAGAGGAGATAAGGGATGCCCAAAGAAGGGCAGCCGACCTTACTGATGTCACCCAATATAAAACGATTATGTATGAACTTGAAACTAAATGCCGGGAGATGAAACAGGAGGAACTAATCAAGGAGCTCACGGCTGCTGCTGAGGAGGCCAACGAGAAAGCAGTCGACTTTGAAACTCAGGTCAACAACCTCAAGGCTGATGTCAAAGCCTTGGGGGAGGCTGACAAGGAGAACTTCGAGCTGAAGGCTGAGGTCAGCCAGCTGAAAAATTAGCTGACCCAGACCCAGGCGGAGCACAAGGACAAGTTGGCGGCTGAGCAGGACCGGCTGGTCACCGAGAACGAGCGCGACTGCGAGGAGCGCATGAAGATGGCATGGTCCATGATCCATCCGGACACCGACTATGCCTTCTTCGACTTGAGGTACAAATACGTTACTGAAGTATTTGACGCTCAGGTTCTCGAGACAGAGAAGACGGCGCCCTTTGAAGAATGGGCCGGCTTCAAGGAGGAGGAGCACGCGAAAGAGATAGTGCTGGGTGAGGCTGGAGAAGCCCAAACCCAGCAAACTCAAGAAGCCCCTCCTGCCGGCCAGGGCCAGCCGTCACAACAGCAACAACAGCAGCAACAATAGCTTAACATTTTTTATACTTCCTGCCTTCATCCGGCCTGCGTGCCGTGTACTTTTTAGCATGTATTTAATTTCCCTGGACGTAGGTCCGGCTGAAAATATTCTTTTTAATATAATTGTCGACTGTGTCAGTTTTGCCTTGATATAATTTAATCCTTTTTTTGCAATTTTTACCTCGTACAAATTTGAATTGTTACATGCGGTATGTCGGGTGCATTGGTTCTGTCTGCCCCTGGACGGTTGTGTGCTTATAGTTAATCCAACTCTAATCAGCCAGCCATCCATAAAAGCATCCAAACTAATAAACAGGCGATCCTTGACCGTTTTTAAAACAAAATTATTCCTAAGTTGGATCTGCTGGCGGTGCCGGCTAAACTCAACCTAGATTACTTGTTTAACCGGCTGCGAATTACCCTTTGGGTATCTGACAGTGCCGTTGATTGGTATACATACGGCCTATGTCCAGACGTATGCATTTTAACCAATTGCAGATTAAATGACAAGGTTTTGACCTTGTTTATGGAATTTATAGCCGGTTGTAGTGCTTTTTGGCAAAAGCCGGCTACAGACCAAGATTTAATTCACCGTCTGTATTGCCTTGAGGTAATGATCAGTTGTATCTTGATTTCGATAGATCATTCGAACGGCCATGAGTTATCTTTAACCTAATCAGTTAAAGCCGTTTGAGTTATGACCTGTAGAATAATGTACCACCCGGAAGGGAGATGTTCTCTTCGACGAATTCACCCAAATGGGCGTCGCCGGATGCCTTCTCATGCAGGCGGTTTATAATATGTTCGGCCATTAGCCTTATGAATAACTAAGTTCGACACTTAGCCTTATACTTAGTTAGAGCAAATGGTTGCCCGGTTGTGCATTGCACAGATGGGACTTGGTAGTTTCCCGGTTGTGCATTGCACATATGGGACTATATATACACAAAATAGTAGAAATAAAGTACTCTTTCATTAATATACTCTATTTACAAAAAATTTACAAGTCCTTAGAAGTTGTACTTTTCAAGTTATCTACAATCCAGGGTCTGGCTAGCTGCCTGCCGTCTTGAGTTTCTAGGCGGTAGGTGCCGCCTCTAACTTCTTCAAAAATCCGGTAGGGACCCTCCTAATTAGGGGTTAGCTTCCTTGCTCATTTGCCCTACCGGTTGCCTTCATTTTTCGTAACACAAAGTCCCCCACTTTCAAGGGCCGTTTGTGCACTCTTTTGTTGTAGGCTCTAGTCATTTTCAGGCGATATATCTCATGAGGCAAGGCGGGATTGCCCCTGCGCTACGGGAGTAAATCCAATGCTAGACGCATGGCCTCCCAATTTGCCTCTTCATCATAGAGCATGATTCGGAGTGTTGGCTCATAAAGTTCAATTGGCAGAACGGCTTTAGTACCATATGTCATGAGAAACGGGGTTTCATCTGTTGCCCCTTTTTCTGTTGTTATGATGGCCCATAGGACATGAGGCAACTCATCCGCCCATAGACCGCCAACCCTTTCAATTTTCTTCTTAATGTCGTCTGAGATGAGCTTGTTGAAGGCTTTAACTTGGCCGTTTGCTTGGGGGCGGCAAACTGATGCAAAGGAATGTGAGATCCCTTGATCTCCCAACCAGCTCTTGAGGGTAGGCATTTCAAACTAAGGGCCATTGTCAAAGACCATAGACATAGGAACCCCAAATCGGGTGATGATGTTTCTCCAGAAGGAGATGACATCCTTTGTCTTAATGCTCTTAACCGCCTCTGCCTCAACCCATTTGGTGAAGTAATCTACAGCCACCAGGATGTACCTTCGCCCGCCTGTGGCAGGCGTATATGGACCTAAAATGTCCATGCCCCATTTTGAAAATGGAACCGGGCTGTAGATAGCCGTCAAATCTGTGGCCAAACGGTGTATGAGCCGGCCAAATCTTTGGCACTTATCACACTCTTTCACCATTTCCATGGCGTCTGCCTCAAGAGTGGGCCTAAAGTAGCCCTGCCGTCTGGCCCTTTTTGCTAGATTTCTGCCGCCTATATGTGATGCACCTAGGGATCATGTTCAATGCTTCTTTTTTCCATGATTTCCCAGAAGACTCACCTAGGCGCATCACAAGTGGCGGATGATGCCAATTTGGACAACGCATCCGCCTGATTGTTTTCTGGCCTGGGCACCTGACTTAGATGAAATTCGTCAAGTGTCCCGGCCTCATCTTTGACCGCCTGCAGATACATGATCATCGCCAGATGGGTGGCCTCATAGTCACCATGGTATTGGCTAACGATCAATTGAGAATCTGAGCAGGCGTCAACTTTTCTTGCCCCTGCCGCCTTACACATGCGTATACCGGCTAGCAGGGCCTCGTACTCCACCTCATTATTTGAGGCTTGGAACTTGAACCATAGTGCGTATTCATATTTGTCCCCTTCTAGAGACTTGCAAATTATGCCTGCACCACAACCGTTCATAGTAGAGCTCGCTCCCGTCTACATAAACCTTCTAAACCTGATCAACATTGTCCAGCTGAGCCGGTCTTGTTCTTTCAACAATGAAGTCGGCGAATGCCTGACCCTTTACTGCGATTCTAGGTTCGAAGGAAATTTCCAGACTCTGCATTTCAATAGCCCACTTGAGCATTCTACCGGATAACTCCAAGGTTATCATTACCAAATGTCAATTCCGTTAGTTGTCCATCAGTGTCCGTTGGTTGACCGTTAGTTGACCCCACCACTTGCCACGTGTCACCTTCAAATTGGTCTAATTTTTAAAAAATAAATATTTAAACAAAATTTAAAAAAAAAACCAAAAATATTTAAAAAATTAAAAAAAATAATAAAAAAAAGAAAACCACCAAATCCCCACCCACCACCCCTTTTACCACCCTCACTCGCAGGCCGCCCACCCCACCCTAATCCCCTCCCTGCCGCCGAAGACCGAAGCCCCTGCCGCCGAGGGTGGGTGGCGCGACGGGGAAAGTGGAGGGGAAGGGGTGGGGGTAGGGGTCCGCTGGCGCGCCTTCCGGTGCTGGCTTCGGCAGCATGAGATGGCTGGGCTGGTGGCTGGGGTTTGGGTTTTTTTTTAATTATTTTTTTTAATTTTTTTAAATGTTTTGGTTTTGTTTTAAAATTTTTATTTTTATTTTTGTATAATTATGTTTTTCTTAAAAAACGGACCAATTAGCAGGTGACACGTGGCAAGTAGTGGGGTCAACTAACTGACAGTGACGATCAACTAACGGAAATGACATTTGGTGATATTATACTAAACCTTAGTGGCATTTGGTGAATTCTGAAAAACGCGATGGCATTTGGAGAATTTTTTAAGTATTCAGTGGCATTTTGTGAAATAGTTGAAAAAAAATTTATAAGGTGATTTCTTGCAAAAAAGTTTCCTATAAAAGGTGGTTTTTTGCAAAATTTCCTATACTGAAATATATATTTTAGAATGGAGGAGCAAACGGTCACAAACACTATTCTAGAAGTGTTAGGAGAAATCTATCTAGCATTGAATGATTCCAATAATCATATTATGTTACTAACTCACTAAGGGCAAGAAAGCTAGCTAGAACATCTAGAGCACTTACTTACTCAATCAAGGCAACATCTCAATTTTAACCTTGGGATATAATACTAAATTAGGCCAATGAAATATGGGTATCTTAATTTAACATGTATATATTATAACATCGATGAAAGCCAATGGTCCATCCTGAGATTACATCAAGTAACCAAGATGTCTAAGAAACAAGTGCGATAAATATATGGCATAATAAGATTGAATCAAACAAATATATTAGATAATATCCATTGATGTTTGCTGTAAGAAAAACATGCATATAAGTATTCGTGTAATAGCTCAACAATAACATATGATTTCACCTTGATGTTGCATGATCAAGGCCTTCTTTTATTGAAATAGACACACCCACTCTGCAATATATCTTCTTTAATTGAACAAGCAGAAGCTTGATTTAAACCTTAGGACCAGCAGTAAGCCTGCGAACCAAGCGATCACCATTAGGCATTGAGGCAATATGCACAAAAAGGTGTTCAGTAGAAGGATGACGAACATCTTGTTTGTGAGCTGCTTTTCCACCAGATTCGAATACCTTATCCAGTAACCAACCAACTAAAGCCCCAACTGATATACCTGCCCCAATGCCACTTGCAATTGAAGCTACTATAATAAAAGTCGTGGCTGCTGTTGCAGTGACACTGATTCCAGCAGCTGTCAAAATTGAAGTGACAGCAATAGAACCGGCAATCTCGCCTGCTATCCCCCCTGCCAAAGACACTATCGTCTCCACCGAATCCTTTGTAAGAGTCTTTAGCGGGGGATCGGATGAATATGTATCCCAAGCTATCATGGCAACTTGCAAAAGTAGTAGTGCTGCCCCAGCACCTTTTGCTACTCTTGCTAGCCTAGCATATGTAGGCTTTCCAGTCAAACCAGCTACCTCCGCATAAACGTGCAAGTGATACATCATCATCATTCTACCTTATAAACGTACAATTCACAATCAACTATATACACTGATGAAAAAAAAGAAGTGATGCCCCACCACATGTTGGAAAAAAAAAAAAAAAACTTTCTTTGATACGGAGTAATTTGTGTGTTACCTACATTCTACTAAATCTTACGTATTAGTTTATATTATCACTAAAGCCCACTATTAGTTTTATCATAGAATTCGGTGAGGAGAGACAATATGTTCTTAGGGCCTTAGGGGCCACCGTTTTTTTTGCACTTGATGAGTGATCTAAGGTAGAATAAGTTTGTAATAGTAGGTTTTTATAGAGTATAACTAGTGGATAACCAAACAACCTTGGTCATGAACCACTGTATAATAATTCTCTTTCCACTTAATAATGGCCAAGTCACATGACCAACAACGATCAAGGACTACCTATGATTGTCCATAAAACATTGGTCAAGGTTTTCTCTCCTTTATTTCAATAACTCTCCCCCTCTTCATTTCTAATGCCACATGTCTAGATGTAGTTTTTTTTTCTCAAGTTTTTATTTTGGTCATGTACAAGACCTAATCTTTATTCAATTTCATCTTATTTTTATGATCTTCCATTTTTTTATTTTAGGAAAAAAATGTCAAAAATCATCTTTTATAACGCGTTTTTTTTTTTCTTTTTTTTTGAAAAAAATACCTTACAAAAATTTTGTTATGTAACCACACCTAAAACCAATTTTTTTTTTATAAGGTAACACCGTAGGTCGGTTTTAGGGCATTGACCCTGTTTTTCGGTATTGACCTTCACGTGAGGGTCACATGCACAACCCCTCTCTCCATAAATCCATCAAAACCATAGCCTAAGCAACCGAGTTAAGCATCTTCGAGGGGACTAAACTATGCCAAAAATCAAAAGGAGGGGACTCAACTTCCAAATGTCAAAAGCAGGGGACTAGGCCTATTTTTCCAGCCAAGGTTACCTCCAGCAACCAGTTACCAAAATGAATTTATTTTGTTTTTTCTTTGAAAGACTGACAAGAATTGATTGCATTGGGAAATAAATTTTTTTTTTATAAACAAAAGTAGTCGTTACAATTCATTTGCCCACAAGGCCACAACTACCATGAGCTATAACCCATACCACCCTACACCCATCAAAACCTGTCAACACCACAAACCACCACCATCCAGAACCCCAAACGACCCACAAATTTTAAACTTCAAACTTAGCTTCCAAAACTTCAATTATGGTTTTCTTCGATTTCTTTGATTTTCTCTTAAAAATGCAATAGTGGAAATCACAAAGGGGAGAGAGAAGGGGAATTTAATTCAGGCATGAATCCCGTAACGACTGAGCAATTACCGCCGCCACCACAACCACCACAGCCCCACCTGAAGTCCACAAGTTGCGACCGTCATCCCGATGAGTAGTTCACTGAGTTCTGCCCCCTCTTGTCTTTGCAAGCGTATAGCGGTGTTAGACAAATCATACGCAGCAACCGCCTCTTCTTGTCGTAAATCCGCCTCTTCTGCACTCAAATCAATGTTTAAACCTAGCAACGATAGTGGGTCCGCATTACGTGTTAGGCCGAATTCGAGTTCCTTTTTACTGGAGCTGTATTTGGTTAAATTTAACCGTGAGAACTTTAGATCTAGAGTTTTCAAAGGTTAAATTTAACCATCAAAACCTCACACTTTAGAGCTTTAATGGTGGTAATGAATTGAAAAAAAAGGAAGATAGAGAATGTGACAATAATGAGAAAGGGTGAGGCCGAGCAGGGGCGGGGGCACGGGCAGGGGCGGCGGCAGTGGTGGCGCGAGGTAAGAGGCGGTTGTAATCTGGAATGAGCAGGATGAGGGAGAAGAGAGTGAAAAAGGTTAGGCTGGTCTGCTCCAATTTCAGACAAATTTAATTTTTTATTTATTTATTTTTTTTAAATTGAAACTTTGGGGCAACTGGTAATTGAAGGTAAGCAAACCGGAGTTCACTTGTCACAACCAGTTTGATTCCCCTACATTTGACTTTTGTAAGTTAAGTCCCCTATTTTTTATTTTTGGCAAAGTTTAGTCCCCTCTAAGATACTTAACTCCTAGCCAACCCCAACGATCGACACCCCCACCTAGCTGCCACTAGAACCACCTCTCAACCGCCGACACCACCACCCATCAACCTAGCTGCCATCACCACCCATCAACCTAGCCGCCATCACCGCCCACCCAAATCACTTTAAACCCGCCTGTAAAAATCCTTACCCTCATCAAAAACCTCCCAAGTCCCACCTAAAACCACCCAAATCCACCCGAAAAAAGTGTACCCTCCCCCAAATACCAATAGAGAATAGAGAATATGGTAGGTAGCAATTTCCCCTCCCCCCCTTTTTTCCCAATTTAAAACCCTAGACATAAGGTAAATAAAAAATCCAACAAAATTAACAAGGAAACAATTTTATAAAGTTTAACAACTTACCTACCACAAAAATTAGGTTAATTGAGGTTGTTCGTTGCAGCAATTCGAGCAAAACAATGAAGTTTGCCTCTTCAATTGACAACGTTCGAGGGTGCTCGGAAGAAAAGAGGAGCAAGAGTGTCTAATTGGAGGGAAAAAAAAAAGGAGAAAAAGAAAGAAAAGGGAATTTTTTTTCGTGCGGGTTAAGAGTGATTTGGGTAGGCAGTGATGGCAGAAAGGTTGATGGGTGGTGGTGTTGGCGATTGAGAAGTGGTTCCAGTGGTGGTTAGATGGTGGTGTCGGCTGCTAGTGTTGGCTAGGCTATGGTTTTGGTTGTTTTAAGGAGGGAGGGGTTGAGCACGTGACCCTCACGTGAGGGTTAACGTCAGAAAACAAGGTAAAACCCCGACCCTGAAACCGGGTTAAGGTGATACTTCGCAAAAAAAAAAAAAAAAACAAAAAAAAAATTGTTTTTTGTTGTGCTTTCACAAGAAAATTTTTATAAGGTGTTTTTCTTACAAAAAAGTGTTATAAAAGGTGGTTTCTGACAATTTTATTTATTTATTTTTTCTTTTAATGCAAAACTCTCTCTCCACATCACTATTACAAATCCCTTAAATCCCTTAGTTTCTAGACGTTTTTTGCTTGACGCCAGTTAACAAGCGTTAGCATAAAATTTAGGTTTCGTGTTTTTTCGAGGCTTTTCTACGTCACAATTGGGTCTTGACACAGAAAAGCATCTCAAATAAACATGTCTTACTGCACGTGACTAAAATCCATCCCGAGACTTCAAAATTATAGGGAAAAAAAGCGGGCTATATAAAAAAAAAAAAAAAAAAAAAAAAACCGCTTGAAGTTCTCATCAGCAGCACTACTCATAACAACTAAACCCTAACTTTTCGTTCTGATCTCCTACGATCAAACTCATCAAAATTTTCGTTCAACTGCTTGAAATTGTTGAATTTTCGTTCCTCTCATCAGTATTATCTTCAATTATCGGTAATCCCCTCGCTCTTGTCATCAATTTTCCGTAATCTCCTTGTTATAGGCATCAATTTCGTAGTTTCTTCTCACTTTTTTATTTTCTTTCATTTTTTTCTCTATTAACAATATCTAATTCTTGAAGGTTTTTCTGTTGATTGTTTGTACTCTTCTAACCTTCCTTTAGATCGAATCAATCAGGTTTGTTTTTTCTAATTCTTTTCTCAATTTTTTTTTTGGAGATGCGTGTATCTTATTTAATTCAAAAGGTTTTTGGCGTAAAATTATTATCGATTTTTCATTGTTGAATTATTAAACTAGGTGTTTTTTTTTGTCAGATTGTTTGTTTTAGGGTTCTGTATGTTACGGATTGTTTGATTATGAGCTTTATTCATTAGATTTTGTTAGTTGTACATGAGTTTAATCTTTAATTAGGTTTAAATTTTAATTGATATTTTTTGGTTTTAATCTGCAATCTCAATTTCATAGTTGATCTGAGTTGGTGAGCTTAGTTTTGACGAATGGTTTGAGCTTAATTTTAATTTCTTTAGTTTCATGTTTACTGGATGGGATTAGTAATGCCCTTTAATGGTGTACGTTTTTCCTTCTGAATTTTGATGAATTTACACCAATTTAAGTTTACTCGTACTACCTTGCGTGTCAAATGCAATTCCTCTGTTTAAGTGAAATAAATAATAAGTCACTTTTAGTGGTGATTGAATGAGCATAGATGTTATATAGTGGTGCTTATATTAATTTCTTGGTGCTAAAATCAACTGTATGTGTTTATTACTACAATCTTGCTCTTGACCGTTTTCTGTTTCGGTTTCAGACTCTTCTAATTTCATCATTAGCAGAGTGCAACGCAATTTTACAATTTGACAAGCTTTATGTTTTTCCACCACTTACTTAAACCTTTCACCTTAGTTTGTGCGTGGATTGGAATATGTTTTATTGATAGATAATGGAAGACAACAATTTGGGCACAAAAGGCCAATATGAAAATGAACAGGACATGAAATCATATGCAGACATGCAGCATACTATTAAGAGGGATCTTAATCATACAACAGTTTGATTCTTATTTAATATGGAGTATTAATCTTCCCAACTAAAAATGAATACGAATTCTTGTTCAATAATCAATCAATAATTTGTTATCTCCTACTGGTGCCCTTAATATCTATTATGTTTTTAAATACTTTTTTTAAAAAATACAAAAATAAACCTGCCGTCAGAGTTGGTGCATGCCCCTGCTGCTAATATTTAGGACATATCTTAAAATTTAAAGTTGTATTTTTGTGCTTAATAGGTGACAGAGGAGGAGCTTGTCTAAAATTTGTTCTAGATCGTGATAGTTGTTGCACTTAGCGAGTTGGCCGAGGTAATTACCGAAATTCCCAAATTATTTTATATGTCAGATAATTGTATATTATATTTTCGTGTCATATGTCTGGTAGATAGCCCTCCCAAAATAGTTTTACATAATTTATGTTATCGATCATATATGAAAAATGTAAGTAATTAAGTTGTAGATTTGTAGTGAGGTAGTATATTATGTATAATTCATTATGTCGTATCTATGTGCTTATTGATTATATTACATTATTACATGTTGATGGAATATGTTGTAACACACTTCTTAATTATAACATTTATAATATTAATTACCAAATTATTGTTAGCTTATTATTGATACTCATTAATAATTATTAAATATTAATTTTATTATACATTTCATCGTAGATATGGATACTAGTTGGATTGATTTACCAAAAGGCAAATCTGCCTATTATGAGGGTTGCATGTGTAGGGTTTCGTAGTGACCCACACTACGCGGAATGAAACCCGCCAAGACCCGCCCCATAATAAATGCAATTAACAAGCAAAACATAATTAAAGACACAAGAAAAAAGGATAAAAGATTATACCTTTGATGCGTGCTTCGCTCGACAATGAGCTCTTACTTGAACCCCGAAAATACGAGGCCTCCGACGGGATCGTACCCTCGAACCCGACCCGAACGTCCTAAGCCTCGAAGGTTAGTCGAGGCCCGGACAAAACAAACTAGAGTTTTACGAATTTCAAGGTATGCTCAACAATGGAGTTTCCTTTACTTTTCAACTCAAGTGTGTTCTTTCCCAAATACCCAAGCTTTGTTATTTATAGGGAAATGAACCCTTGATCTTCATTTCCCAACCAATGTGGGAGAATGAATGATATTGATAATTAATTTAATTCTAAATTAAATAAATGATCAAATCAATCACAATGCAACAAGTGTCAAGGGGAGAGAGAGAGTTAAGTGAGGAGCAAGAGAGGGTGGGGGGGGGGGGGACCATTGCCTTGCTCCCCAAGGCTTTGCTCAAGGGTTGGTCCCCACCCTCACAAAACCGGCATATGAGGCTGCTGGGCTGGCAGCCAGCTAGCATGCCAGCTAGCATTGCCAACTAGCCCAGCCAGCCAGCACAAGGCAGTAAGCATCAGCCAGCCAGCCATGCGCGCTGCATGCTGCTGTGTTGGGTGATGCCCACGCTGCGGCTTGCTAGGCGTTGGGCGCTGCTGGCTGCCTAACTCTCCTCTTCGCACGCACACGCACACGCACACCCAGCATGCGTGCTGCTAGCGAGCCACGCATGCTGGGCATCGCCTCTCGCATATCTAGCATGCACTAGCACTCGCACACGCATACGCACACGCACATGGCGATGCCTGGCATGGTGTTGCTGTGCGAGGCTGCTGCTGCGATGGTGCGAGACACACACGCACGCAAGGCCCAGCATGCGTGCTGCTAGCAAGCCACGCATGCTGGATGCCTTGATGCTTGGCGATGTTGCTAGGCTGTGTGCTGAGATGGTGCCACAGCCTAGGCACAAGCACACGCACACACGCATAGGCCTAGCCATGCGATAGTGCTGTGCTTGTGCTTGTGCTGCGATGATGCGACAACCCCTAGGCACATGCACACGCACACACACACAAGTGCCTAGCACTTCGTGTTGGGTTTCGTAGTGACCCGCCAAGACCCGCCCCCATAATAAATGCAATTAACAAGCAAAACATAATTGAAACATAATTAAGGATAAAAGATTATATCTTTGACGCGTGCTTCGCTCTACTATGAGCTCTTACTTGAACCCCGAAAATACGAGGTCTCCAACGGGATCGTACCCTCGAACTCGACCCGAGCGTCCTAAGTCTCGAAGGTTAGTCGAGACCCGGACAAATAAAACTATGAGTTTTACGAATCAAGGTTTACTCAAATTAAGAGTTGCCTTTTAATTGCACTCAAGGTTGTTTTTTCCCAAATACCCAAACTTTGGTATTTATAGGGAAATGAACCCTTGAACTTCATTTCCAAACCAATGTGGGAGAATGAATAATTTTGATAATTAATTTAATTCCAAAATAAATTAATAATCAAATCAATCACAATGCAAGTGTCAAGGGGAGAGAGAGGGTTAGGTGAGGACCATGAACATTGGGGGGGACCATTGCCTTGCTCCCCAAGGCATGCTCCAAGCCTTTGGTCCCCATTTCACCACAAACCGCCTCAAGCAAGGGCTGCTGGGCTGCTGCCAGCTAGCACGCCAGCTAGCACTGCCAGCTAACCCAGCCAGCAGCCTCGCATCCCCAGCCAGGCAATGCGTGCTGGCGCTGGGCGATGCTTGTGTTGCTGCTGCGTGCTAGTGCTAGGCGCTGCTAGCTGCTGGCGCTGGTGCTGGCCCTTGCCTCTCTCGCCATCACACACGCACACACCCTCTCGCATAACCAGCGCAGCCAGGCCAGCATACGCATAGCCCAACCAGCGCACTCACGCACGCAAGGCCTAGCATGCGTGCTGCTAGCGAGCCACGCATGTTGGGCTTGGTGCTGCCATGCGAAGGCACGCATGCAAGCACACAGCTACGCGAAGGCTCGGTGCTGCAATGCGAGGCTGCTGGGCGATGGTGCACACGCACACACGCATGCGCCTAGCACTGCGATGGTGCTTTGCGTGGTGCTAGGGTGCTGCGATAGTGCCCGCGCACATGCACACACACATAGGTGCTGTGCTTGGTGCGATAGGGCTGCGATGGTGCCTAGGCATGATGCTAGGGCTGCGATGGCACCTAGGCATGATGCTAGGGC